CTTTGAGTATGAAAGAATACAAAAAACTGAAGTACAATGACAGGTATATAATGGATTTAAAATGGTTTCCGCAGAATAATCTTCTCCACAGCAATTTCTAATTCTTACCAAATCAACTTGCACAAATTCCTGAAAAATTTTGATGTTTAATTAAAGATTTTTAATGCCCACCCTACTTTGCTAATCCATCAAAAATCCATATCTCCATCTTATATCCATTCCAATCTTTCACCTCTTAACCAATGCATCCCCAAATTGAAATTAAAAAGTCTGAAAATGTGATTCATTGAGATGAAAAAAACATGCAGGTGCAATCAATCATTATATTTGTGGCAATGCTTGGGGAAAGTTGAGATAAGAAAAAATTATCGTTTTGAGACTCTGATAGAGTGCAAATATGTGCAAATTTACCAAAGTCATAAGATCGCAAAATCAAGTTGTAATTCTTTTGTAAATATAAAGTGCATATTTGCAATAACTTACCAGAGTGGCGATGCCATTAATGGCAGCAAAGATAAAGTATCTACGTCTTGACATTTTACAGTAGCATCTCCCACATGTCCGAGGCCAATGTAGAAAACCATCTTTTCCTACATAAATCCACGACACATCCAGAGATACGAAATTATTATGCATACTCATCACGGAACCAATTTGATTCCGCAAGATTCTTAATTTTTTGATCAAATGTGATGGTAAAGGTAAAGTTCTGAAACATATATATCTGAACGTCGCCACCTTTCGCATACACAGAGCGAAAAGTCTTTCCACCTTAAATCCTGTTTTCGGGAATTCGAGATCCTGTTTGGCATGCTCATCCGCTACTTTCCATTGACGATAATTTCCACTCATTTTTGTTGTCTTAAAAATTTCAATGACATAGCACATAAAATTCAATTAATGCAAATGAATAATCAGCACTATGCGAAACACTCCCAGCAAAATAAATACTTCCTCGGAACATTTCTGGAACTTTGATTTCATGTAGTTAACTAATAACAATAATCCCAGAAGGGAATAGTCTACAGACAATAACAATATCTTTCCATTCATAACTAATGACATTTATCATACAACATAAAGAAATCCATTGAGATACATATTGAATATGGTACATTTCTAATGATTTGTATCCACACAAAACGTACAAATTCATTTTCTATACCAAGATAATATAGTATTTATGGTGAAAAAATAAAAACAATAATAACAACTTATAACGAGTCTGATGCCAAATTTAATTTAACCGCACCATTTTGCCATCATACTGTAAATTCAAAGACTGCAACTTGGCATTAAAAATTAATTCAGGATTTTCATCAATTTCACTGAACTTTTTATTAGCCAAATAATACTCAATAACTTTTGCTTTCAACCGCTTCACTTTCATCTGTCCATTTTCTGCCTCTTTCAAAGTCCGTTTGATAGCTCGTTTCCACTTAAACTTTACCTCCTTCGTTTCTAGTGTTCTCTACAAATATTTTCATGATTCAAAGTAAACACTTATATAAACTAAAACTTTTCTAAAACAAGAAGTTAGATACATTAGAATTAATACAAATACTTGATGAAGATTAAGACATAGAAATTTTAGAAAACTTCATTTGGAAATAGACAATAAAATTAACCTGTGGGGAATTGGTATTAGCACTTTTATCACAGCTACTTGATAAATCGTTCCTTTTCTTTTCTTTTTTTTCAGTAACATTTCTTGAAAACCCTTCTCCATGACCCACACCCTCTTCTTCAGCAGTGGGAGTGCAAATTTTTGTTGATTTCGCTTTCTTTGTCTCTTCCTCAATTTTTCTAGCTTGTTCACTTATGCAGTTCCATGCCTATAGTTTTGTAAACTAAACAAGTCGATTCTGCCAGTAATTCATTTCTCGAATCGTAGACCAAAGCAAAATAATCTCTATTCTTTCGTTAGCTTATTTTTCGAAGACATATTTAAGTTAGAGTCCTTACCTTAATGCATAAATCTCGATCACGTATATTGATCGAATTTTGCAAAAAGTTGACAAATTTCGTTTCCTTCCTTGGAATATTGTCAAAGCCACGAATCTGCTCCAACAAACATTTTAACCTTTGTTCTTTCACATTCCCAATTGCTCGTTCCACCTGCTCAATCCACCGATTTTGTTTAATCTCACCCTACAACTTTAACTACTTATAAAGTCTCAGAAACACGAAAACATTTGTCAAACACTGATAATTGAAAATGACCTTATTCTCTTTCTCGACATAATTCTTCCCACCATATTTCTTACTTTCAGTCACACACTTCATATGACCTTTGAAAGTTTCCAAGGAAAAATTTTGTCCGCAATCCAAGCAAGAATATGTTGCATACCTGCACAAATAAAATATTTTTCGAAAAGCTCTCTAATGAATGACAGTCTAGAGATTCATATTGTTGAATACTCTATACATAGAAGATTTCATCAGCTGATATATGCAAATATGAAGTCCACGACACAAATGCATCTTAGAGACCGAATTTTATTTATTAGACAATAATTAAAAAACTCTACCGAAGTTACCAAAAATTTGGCAAATAATATTGGCTTCAGCAATGAAGATAATTTTGAAATGCCGCATTAAATTGATAGTACTCAGTTCAACTTTAACATATGAAGTTCATCATATTAAGTCAGAAAATTATATGAAAACTTAACTCTTAGTACAACTTTATTGCACAAAACTCTATATATAAATGACAATTAGTAAGGTTCCATTACAATTTTTAATACTTGCTTCAAGGATCAAAAAATTTGAAAGTTCTAGCAGATTCTTAAATCTTCAATTTTATTTTGGTATTAATGAAACTTTGAGATTCAATCGTGAGGTCACTGTTTATAATTACTATACCCTAAACTAAAAAAATATCAAAAAGTGTACCTGCACCGGAACCCATGTTTTTCAACCTGATTTTTTTTCAGCGCTTCACTGCATGTATTGCAACTAAAAAACACCATGAAGATCAAATGAGTAATCCTGAAACATTATTGATGATACAATTATTAGTTCTACAATCCTAGTCATCATAAAAACTGTGACAACTTTGAATTGCATATCTAAACTAAAGCAAGTCTAGTGCACGAATATTTTACATGAAAAAACACAGAATAAGTCGACTATCGGAAGCGAGGATTTTTCGTTTATTGCTACACATAATACAAATGAAAATAAAATTAATAAGTATTACAAAACAATACTTATGAAAATACAGACGAATGAGAATGTGGAATGGAGAAAAATCGATTACAGCATGAAAATACACAAAAATAATTCATACGATGATATTCAAGTTTTGTAAATTTTAAGCTGATCGTTTATTCTCATGAAATTGCGGTAAAAGTGCTTGGTAATGAAAACTAGGACCTGATGAAGTCAAAATGAAATGCTTTCCATGAAAATCAAAAAGTAATGTACAGTGGAAAACAATATTTGACAAAACAACTGCATATTCTGAAATGGCAAACAAAGTGTATACTCCTGGCTCACAATAAGTGTTGTGACGATTGAAAAAATAAACAGCGAATAAAAGAGATAATATTGATGCAGAACACATGAGTACTTTATACTGGAATGATTTCTCGCCCTGAAAAAACTCGTACTTATTAAATTCTGTGAAAAATCACTTAACAAAACTGTTTCCCCGTATTTTACAAAAATTTAGAAATGTTAGTGCTGACTAAAAAGCGACTTTTGTTAGCTTCTGCATTTCTTAAATCAGAGACTGTCCAGGAGAAAAAAGTTTCAACCAGAAGCAAATTATTATTTTTTATAAACATTTATAAATATTGCCTTTTATAACTACAATTCCTTCCGTAATTATAAGAGATGTAAGAAGTCAGAAACTTACAAGTGATGACGTACGACGCCTACCAGAATAATGCAATAAGCTAGTTGCGAGTAACATATAAATTATCGAGCAGATCGCAAATCCAAGAAACGATATTTTATGAATAGCTGAAGTTTTTTTTGATTATTTGAAATTTTAAACAGCTGTGAACGATTGAGAAAGTGTAAAATGAATTAAAATTAAGAAAAGTGAACCATAGCTATCTGTAGAAGATGCCGATGTCAACAAAAGAAGGAATAAACTTTCTGCTATATTTACAAAACATGCCGCCTGACACGATAACTCGAACCACACGCGATCATTCAACGGTCGTAACGGAGATGTTAGTAAAAGATTTCTGTAAATATAAAAAAGGCGCTGAAATACGCAGAACCAATTAATACATGAATTACGGATGACGAAAAAAAAACTTGCTTAAAAGCTAATGCGGCTACAATACGAGGAGCAGAATGTAATGAAATGAAAAACTGCCAAATATAACGTTCTGGAGTAAATGATGCAACTGCAGCTGATATGGATGGCAAGTAATTCACAACACCACAATGAGTACGAGTGGACTCATCCAAATGCAATACTAATGACAATGATACACATAAAGATAGGGCGAAAAATGGTAAACTTGCTGTCATAAGAACGAACCACCGGAAAGGAATCCACAACAATTCCTCCTCACCCACTAGTGTCATAAGAGACTCATTATTTTTTAAGAATGACACATCTGAAAATACAAAAGATAATCAGATACAATTTATAAAATTGGATACTTTAAAAATCGCAAAAATACGATAAAATTTGTGAAATTGTCGAAAATAACATGTATGCAGTTACTTTTATCTTTCGGATTTTTTATCAGATATAGTTTTATGCACGAAATATCTCTGAAGGAAACAAATTAATGCTAAAGTGTTATCAATAAAAATCTTTTATGCAAGAAAATTTACAACAATTTTATACATTAATAAGCACACAGCAACAAAAACAAGTGCATCTTCGACAACGATAACATGTCTTGATTCTCATTTTATGTAAAGCATACTATTAAATAGAATAAAAAATAATAAATTATAGGAGCCCATGAGCAATATGATTTGATTTCTAGTAAGTAAATTTGACAAATAAATTTAAGAAAAATTTACCACTTATGTATATTTACATTTATAAGCAACATCATAATATGACAGCCAACCATGACAATTTTGCATATTATACTTCAAAGCTAACTCCCAATTAAACTGGTTGATATTCATTTCTTCAACTTTCTTCTCCTGAAGCCTTCTCTCCACCAATATTTTCTCACTTACAAATTCGACAGGAAATCGAAACCGTTCACAGAGGTACATTAAATAAGCCCTTGCCTGAATATTTCATTAAATAGTACGTTCGTTTCGCTGGATTTGTATTTAGAGAAAACAATTTATAAAATACACTTTTAAATTAATAGCCAAGCGCATATGCTAGAAACATATAGAATTCATAAGATTCAAAATTATGAATTCTATATGTTTCTAGCATATGAATGAAAGACTGAAATTTCAAAACAATGCAAATGAAAAACAAATGATTTACTTGTGTGGTTGGTGCGTATTCTTGAACATTACAAATGGATATTAGAATAAATGTTTAAAGAGACAAAATTTTTTTCCTTCTAAATTACACGTACAAAATGACAGAAATATTCATAACAATCATACCTCCAATTCCATGATATAGCCACCAACTTCTAAAATAATTCTTCTTGCCCGAACCGGTGTAACGTAATGATGTATATTTCCTTTGCCACTACCAGCTTTCGCTCCAACCGCTCTCTTAGTACGTGGAAGCCATGGAGCTGGCACCCTCCATATTGCGAATTGATTTTTCAAAAGATTTCTATTTAAGCGATCCTACAAATAAGTCTCTATCTGATAAATCCTCACATTTTCAAAGAAAATATTACTGCATGCTGTTTTTTCATTACTAGAAATATTTTCACAATTGATTTAGCAAACTATTAAGGGAATAAACAGGAAATCACGTTAACACCAAAATTTACTCGAATGAAATTGAAATCGTATGGAGATATAAAACCACCACCAATCGCAGCAAGCCCGTATTGTTTATGGATCAATTCAGTGTGTATTTCTTCAACACCACGAATACTAACTAGCTGCCTTGATGACTTGAATTTTTCCTCGCCCAGTTTTGGGTCATAAGTTGGTTCTTGTGGCATCGCTGGCAATTTGTATTCGCCATTTGGAGGAAATATAACACCTAAAAACGATTACAATCGAATGTTGTTAGCTTTAGTGAATAGCTTGATTTAAATATTAACATCACTTGCTGATATTATGAGAAGTACAACCAAATCAAAATAACCATGATTATATCAACTGAATTTCGCTACAAAATGAATTAGGCAGGTGTGACTATATAAGCCATCATCAAATTTGTCAATCCAACATGATATTCACTACAATTTATAACTATAAGCAATGCAGAGACTACAATTTTCTTCTTGAATTACAAATATTCTCTTACGTTCGAATGTTTCTGGTTCCGATCTTGGCCACCATTTTCTGTTGTTACGCACAAAACGCACAGAATTCTGCCAGACTGATTTTTGTGCCTGTAGAAGTGACATGTGAAAGTAAATTTAAACTCATTCACTTTTTATATTCCTGAAAATGATAAACAATGACCGATTGCCTACTTTTACCGCACTTCCATTATTAATACTAATATTAATTAATATTTGGAATATAATTTTTGCCATTTCAAAGGCATGTAAAAAATTGACATCCTTTGCAAATTTGACAAGTAAATGTATGCTTTAGTACTCGTAATGATACTATCTAAATTTAAATTGCACACACAAACACAGCAAATTCAAATGCTTAAAATACATGAAAATATTTAACTTTTAATATTCGAAATAACGAAATATGCTTAAATCTAAGAGAGATAGACCGAACCAAACCATACCAAGATTTCAGAAAAGATTGTACACCTCTATAAACTGTTACTGGATAGAAGAAGAAATATAGAGACATGAAAAAAGTACGCAGTAAAGCGTGAGGAAAAGATCGAAAAAACACAGAAATACAATACACTAAATCGTTTTAAAAACTTGTACAGCTAATGAAGCTTAAAATTGTGCTAGGCTATTAGGTAATATACATTATTTGTGTGGCAATGAAGTTGCTTCGTGTGACCTGAAATGTTTGATATGGATGAAATGGAATTGATGCATAATTTATTCTCATACCTCTGACAGTGTTACAGCGAAATTACAATTAAGCAATTTGTTTTGTGTGTGCATTTCAACACAGACGTAAATTACGTGACTTAATGGATCATTACATTAACTTCATTACGTCACTTCACATTGTCATTGTACTTAATGGAATGGTTAATTAAGGCTAAGGAAAGTACTTAACTTATTTGTATTTGTTAACATGTTGTTCCACGAAAACTCAAATATTTTTTTAGTGTAGCATAAATCAAAATTTTGTGAGTTGGTTATGATCAAACGTTCATGTTTGGCATTGTTGAGTGGCATACGTGTGAATCGATTCGATAGTCGAACACTTTTTCAGTTCCACAAAAGGTTAGCTTCCAATTCTGCATTCCTAGAAAATTATTTTTGTGAGGTGGTTTCTGTCATAAATGAGTTCTTTTTTCTCTTTTTTTTAAAGCGATATTTGTAGTGAATAACTAGGGTTCTTCTTTGATGACTTATTCAAAGCCTTATTGTTTTCTTTTCGATGTAATGAAATTCTGATGCATATGAAATAGATCATCTCAAAGCAGATCGTAAAATCAGGACATGAAAAAATGATATAAAATCCGAACTCAGCATAATGGCGGGTTATCTATTTTTTTCACTTTAATCACATTATTTTCTCTACTATTTTAATGAATTCCAACGCTAGGAAATTTAGATACTGAAAATATTTAGTTTATTACTAGACTCAATGTGCATGTTGTTGAAGTTGCAGTGTCATTTTAGACTACTATTGAAAGAAAATTTTTCTACCACAGCGACGCGGCTATCATTTAGTGCTACTGCTCAGAAAGATCTCTCAAAGGAAACGACAAGTTTTTCTCTGAAATGCGAGAATGCTAGGCTAACAAGTTGGTGATAGTTTCCTCTGAGTTTAATTTTTAATTTCTGTGGAACTTATGAGTTTTCGATTTTCCAAAAGCTTTTGTATAATAAAGCTTCCCTAAAAACGAAATCGTACATGTTACAAATCAGTTTATTTTCTGTGAAATGTAAAGTACGCTACTTACATAATCTGCTGAATGTATTTATTTTTAACATTAATAGTAAAAACAGGCTCTTAAATATTCTAGTGTGGGTAAGTTTGAAATAGTTCAATATAATATCAAACAAAAAAGTTTATTACCTTTAAGGTGGCGAATTTTTTGCAAAAATTAAAGAATCAGTTGGTTCTGATGCCAATGATGAAGAATTCACTATTCCTCGACCTGCTTATGATGCTTTAGCTGCTGAATATGATGTCCTGTTGGAAGAGATTGCGACATTTAAGATAAGTTTCATTTGCATGCAAGGCATAAATTCTGATATATATATATATATACAGAACGAACTACAATTATTAACAGATATATATATAGGAAAAAAACTGTTAATAATTGTAGTTCGTTCGTATCTTATTTCTGCCTTTATCTTATTCCCATACTGTAGTATGCCAAAAATAATTGCTTTCTGTGCATCACTTTTTCTGTTTATGGCTTTATGGCTTCATTATGTGCTTCATTTTTTCACATTTTGTATATATATTGTCTGTCAAATTGATTTTGCCCCTGAAAGAGCTTTCTTTTGCTGTTAAAGGTTTTTTTCCCTTAGTCTACTGTAATAAAGATGACTATTGATTATTTACTTAAATAAAGATGATTGTTTACTTTATTTATTTTTAGGATAAATATATTCGTGCAATAGCAGAGATTGAAAATGTCCGCCGTCGAGGTCAAAAGCAAACAGAAGAAACGAAAGTATTTGCTATCCAAGGCTTTTGTAAAGATTTGCTTGAAGTTTGTTCTGATTTCATTTTATGATTTTTCGTTTGTGGTGTTTCTGATCTTCTACTAGACTTTAATATGGGATGAAATCTCTTATGTTTTAGGTAGCAGACATTCTTGATTTAGCAATCAGTGCAGTGGGAAAAGAAGAACTGGAGAACAATGTCCCTCTGAAAAATTTGTTCGAGGGACTTGAGATGACAAGAACACTCTTGCAAAAAGCTTTTATGAAACATGGATTGAAGCAGATTTCTCCTGAAGGCGAAAAATTTGATCCGACATTGCATGAAGCGGTTTTCCAAGTACCGAAGGAGCAAGTAATTGTTTTGCTTATACTTCTATTGAAAAAGTTAATCCAAGAACCACTGAAATTATATCTTATACAGAATAAAATAATTAAAATAATCATTAGTAAAGTTTTTTAAGCTCTTTAATTTTCTAGTCATATTTATGATTAATCTTTGTCAGTTCAAATAATCACTTCCATGCACTAAGCGTGCTTTTGAATTCTGTTAAATACCTGTTGTGTCTGTTTGCAAGTTTGAGTAGTTTAACTACTAAAATTTCATGGTTTATATATAAACACTTAGTTTCAGTCAAAATTGGAATCTGGAAGCGTAGCACAAGTAATAAAAATAGGTTACGCTTTGCAGAATCGACCAATACGTGCTGCAAAAGTGGGTGTTGTACAGTAGTTCTGATTATTAACATCTTATGCCTATTTTTTACTTGCACTAAATTCCATTCAATTATTTTAAATTTGCTAGAAACTGCGTTAATGTGGAAGTATTTTGAAAATCTTCTAAATTAATGTCAATTTTCAAAAAAAATGAGAGAACAAATTCAAAGTTAGCTCTTTTGGTATGCAAATTCAGTCATTTGAAATTTTAGTTATTTTATCCATAAATATGCATGTAAGTGCATATAGAACGGTTTTTTCATCTTAACTTTCGTGCATTGTCGTTGAATTGTTAACTTTTACTTGTATTTAATATGAAGAGATAATAAAATGATCATCTCGCAATATGTTTGATGTTTTGGCTGTTACCGTATAAGAATATTGTTTCAGCAATAAATCTGCATGGTTTCCTCGTGAAAAAGTTGCTATTGAGACATGCAAGTTAGAGAGAATACAGTTCAGCTCAGTTTGTAAGCCTCAAATTTTATAAATTAGGTATTTTCCTCGTTTGTCTCATCACACTGGACTCTATTTGATGGTTTCATTCATTGTATGTTACATTTTATTTATTGTAGATCATCTCGGGAAAGTTCTGCATAATTTGTAGTTAGCTTGATCTGTGTCAAGAATGGAGCACTAAAGTGGTTCAGTCAATATGATCTCGTCTTTGATCATTCTTGGATGAAAAGGAAATTTTAGTAAAGAGTAGATGATAAAAAGTAATTGCAGAGTGGATTTGTGTTGGGGAGCGTATCATAATTTACTAAGTAAGAAATATATTTGATTTGCAGTTATTCTCCTCCAGTTTCTCGATTTAGAGCTTCTAAATAGTTTTTATACAATAGAAAAATGAACGTAACTGATACGAAGAGTAGTAGGTTTTCACGCAATACTAAGTTTCGCAGAGCATGGCGAAAAAGACCTAAGGTTTGTTAGCTATAAATAGATCCACTTTACTTGTCATCATGGGGAGATTAATTCATTGCAGTCATCGCAAAATAATTTCTAAACTCGAAAGAAATATATACTAACGATGAAGTTTGCGAATGGGAGCATGGTTGTTAGTGGAATAATGAAAAGTCTTTGGCTTCTGTCTGGTAGCATTGATAACAAGCTTTTGCGCAGCAATTTTTTGCTGACATTTGTACTTGATTAGTTTTCAAGTGACTGCTCAATTGGATTTTGAACTGTTTAAAGTGTATACTTCGTAGAATGTTTTTCAGAGCATGACTGCATCAGATACTGAGCAGCAAGCAAGTAGTGATGATTGTACTTTGCGCACTCCTATACATTATAGAGGTTTGACAGTTGATGCTGACCGATGGGTAGAAGAAAGCTCCAAATGTCAGTATTTGCCAGAAGAAGAAATGATTCTTTTATGTGATATGTAAGTGTTTGCTTTTCTTGAATTGTGTGTGGTGGAAGTTTTCATATGGTTAAATATCATTTTTATGCTGAAATCATTTACTGCGTTTTAATGTAGATCGCTCTTTCTGAGCAATTTTAATTTCTTAAAGTTCTATATTTCACTGGTTTTATTTTTAGATATGTAATTTGCAAGTTTCTAATATCTGTTTCAGGTTAGTCACTCGTCTTGTTCATGAATCTAATGTTGTTCAGATAACATCACCAGTAACTGTGTGTGGGGATATACATGGCCAGTTTTTCGACTTGTTGAAATTATTTGAAGCTGGTGGTCGTGTTCCATCTACAAGATATGTTTTTATGGGCGATTATGTTGATAGGTTTGCTTTTGAAAAGTTTCATTTCATGTAGGAATTGTCAGATTGATTTCATTGACGTGTGTTGCGTTAGATGACTGGTAAGTTTTTTTAGGGGTTATTATAGCTTAGAAACGCTGACATATTTGTTCACTTTGTTGTTGAGATATCCCGAATCTGTAACTCTACTTCGAGGAAATCATGAATCTCGTCGTATTTCTGCTGTATATGGATTTTATGATGAATGTATACAGAAATATGGACAAGCCATGGTGTGGCGCTGTTGTTGTAAGGTTAGAATTATTGCAAATTAAAATTTCATTTAGATAGTTGGAGGAAAACACAAGCCATGATGGTTAGTTGGGTTATGAAAAATCTCAAAGTGAAGAAAAGTTTAGGTCTTTGATGTACTGCCCATTGCTGCTCTTATTGACGACCATATTTTGTGTCTTCATGGTGGATTGTCTCCAGAAATAAAAACACTTGAAAAAATGTATACTTTAGACAGGTAATTTTGATCCAATATCGCAATTTTATCTGTAGAATGAGTTAATTTAATGCGTGTTTTTTTTTTTGCTGTAAAAATTGTAGTATTCAATTTATTAATGTCTTATTTTAACATTCTTGTGTTTGTAAAAGGATTCAGACTATCACTTAAAGAACTAAGGTAATCAGAAATTTCACTTCAGGGCTATTGAGATTCCTAGCAAAGGTGCTCTGTGTGACCTAGTATGGTCTGATCCAGAACCATCCGAAGAAGGATGGGAGTTAAGTCCGAGAGGCGCTGGATGGGTTAGTTTAATAATGCTTTTTCCTTAAAATAACTTGCATGTTAAGGAAATTATTTGCAGATTTTTGGTCAAAAAGTTACAAAATTTTTTATGGAAGCAAATGACCTCAAATTAATTTGTCGATCTCACCAATTGGTCTTAGAAGGTTTTAAATATGTGTGGGATGATATTTTGTGTACTGTTTGGTCAGGTATTCATTTTTTTTCTTAACTTTGATAACAAGAAGGTAATTTGGAACTTCATACTTTCCTAAGAAACAAAAGACAGTATAAGACTTGTATACTGTCTTTTGTTTCTTAATTCAGTTAAGCTTGTAGAAGAAATATGTAAATATGGCATGGATAAAAAGTATCATTTTGAATTGTGATAATCTAAAACTTTGTTCCTCATCCTTATAACTTTATCAATATAATGTTTATAGAAACTATTTCAAAAAAAACTTCGAAAATTTAATTTGTTACTGAAATTTGTTAGTGAACAAATTGCTTGTATTTATTTAGCTCCAAATTATTGCTATCGTTGTGGAAATGAAGCAGCAGTCCTTCAAATAAATGCGAATGAACGGCTAGTGAAGTACTTTGATGAAGCTACCGAAAATCAACGTGAAAAACCAGACCGGGTCGTTGCTCCGTATTTTCTGTGAAATTTTTCGTTTGTTTATTTTATTTTTTCGATTATTTTCCATTATTGTTTTTATATCACTTTTGACTAATTTCGCATTTTTTGCGATCTCTTTTTGATTCCTCGACTTTGATGAATTGATATTACAGTCATATTCTCTGTTTATGAGGTCTTAGTCTTTGGTTACAAAGTTCATGCATTTTCTTTTTTCTGTTAGGAAAGTTTGCGTATATTTTAAAATAGATTTATTCACGATTATGAAGTTCATGTGGGTCTTAATATTGTAATGATGATTTAATAGTGGCAGGAACAAACTTCTTGCGTAAATATTCTATGACATTGTGTGTGACTCAATAATTTTTTTCAGTACACGGATGGATCGTTTGGAAAGCCTTATAGTTCACTTTTATAATGAGAAATTGCAGGTTGAGATGTGTAACTTGACTTGAAATAATGAACTAATTGATCAGTTTGTGGTTTGGGTACAGCGGTTATTGAGTATGAACATTTAAGGTCCCCATAAACTCTGTATGATCTCGAGTTGAGCATAGGCAGCAATTATTTATTTACACAATTTTTTTTGTTTGTTTCCAAAAATTGTTTGACACTGAACTTGGACTATATTCTTCAACTATTCGCGTTTTTGAACGATAACAAATGAAATGCAGATACTATTGCAAGTCTGTCACAGAGGAGCTTTAGTGCACAAATTACAGTGTGAGCGTTTTTAACTGGAGCATTTATTCAAAAAAAGGAATTTGTGAAAACTTAGAAACAACAAGTAGGCTTAATTTGTGTTGAATAAACTATTAAAAATATATTTCTTTGAGAAATTTGACTTTAAGTTTTTAAATTAAGTGGTCGTTTGTGAAGTAATACAACGAATTCAAATGTTAGAAATGTTCATTTTAGAGAGTACATTGTTGATGTACTGTTTTCTTTTTTTACGTTTCATCTTCAAGAATCTTCTGTACAGTTACGAAACATTTGGATTTTCATAAATTTGAAATACTTTGAAGTATCGACTGGGAAATCACATGTATACCAAAGTCGAAGTAAGCAATGTGTAGCACTGTATTGCTTTACAAATTATTCTCATGAAAAGCAATATTATAACATTGCTAGATTCATTCATTGTTTTCTTAAGTGTCTTGTTAGAATCCTGTAATTTTTAAGTATCTAATTTGACAACATAGTAATTAGCAATTGATATCACGAAACAGAATTAATTGAAAATCATGAATAAAGATTCATTCAAGTTATTTTTTAGCTCTGTATTGTAGTATTTAGATGTGCAACAAACAACAAACCGATATCTTTCAGTTTACAGAAACAAAGCTTTTTTTAGTAAATTAAGGAAGTGGCTTGATAATTGATGGGGTAAACTTTTATAGTGTTAAACATTTGAGAGTTCGGAGTTCAAACGTATTTATTTTGTTGGCACTAAAAGAACCAGAAAAACTGGAAACTACTATTGCAGACATTTTACTTGCGAAAGTATCAATTTTTAATTTTCAAACTAGAAATGAAAAAAATCAAGTGCAATAAATTGTTGGCTAGTTTCAAGTTTAAAAACGAAATGACGAATTAGTTCATGCAGATTGCCTCAGCTATTAATAATTTACATAATACAGTGCAATGTATGAAGCTGAATTATATGAAATAGTTTTTTTTTAAATTTCCGATGCATGCAAAGAACTATGATCTTCAAAATATTATTCAAATATATATGTTAATCTTTCAAGGTTTTATTGAATTCCCCGATCACTCTTATTTTTTATATTTCAAAGTGTAGTTTGCAATTTTTGGTAGCTTTTTTAAAGACTGTAATTATGTTTGCATAAAAAAAAAAACTACTTGAGAAAAGTTCATTGAGCCAATGTTTGTCAAGAAACGAAATAAGAAGAGTAGGTGGTTGCTTCATTTTCAAAGAAGCTGAAAATTCAAATGAGGTCATTGATACGATCGATGACCTTTTTCTTTTTTGTAAATAATTGAAAATATAGTACAAAAAAAGGTATTAAACTTTTGTGCTGAAGTGTCTTTTGCATTAAATAATATGATCAAATATAATGAAAAGCGTTTTTGGTATTTAACAAATAAGTAATTAAAATTTAATTATCGAAAATGACAGGAGAAATGATCATCGAAATTGTAATTAAAAAATTAAAGCGAACGAAACAGTACGCATTGTTAAAACAGGTTTAGTTTTGTATTGCGAGCATTAATTTGTTATATCTAAGAGCTCTTGAAAATGTTACAATTACTAAGCTAACTTCTACATGCGCTCGTTTTTGGGTAATTATATAAGAATCAGAAGTACAAAGCTATTACTCACTTTTCCCTTTTAAATATACAGAATGACATTATCATTGTTGACTATTATTACTATTGTTAGTTATTATTATTATTATTATT